GGCACAGCCACTCTTCAGTGGCTACTCCTCCATTGCTGGGGGAAAGCAATCTTAGTTAGCAGACTTCTTGCTTCAAAGCCAATCCAAATAGTTACTTACACCAAAACACTGTAAAACAAAAAGAATAATGAAGTTACTTGGAAAGTGACTATGCAGAATGGACAAAGATGCTCAATAGTTGCAGAAGTAGAAAGAAAGATCTTGAAAACAAGTGAGACTTACTGCATCAATTATTTTAAAAGAATGGTGACTCTATATTTAGAAAAGAAGTCAGACACTGGATTTCACAACCACATGTGGAAAACATTAAAGAGAAAACTGGATGGGACTGCCAAAGCAGTGCAGGGCCAAGAACTGCCTCCCCCACCCCCACATACACACTGAGGTGGATTTAAAACAAAAAAAACCTCTCCTCTGGAACTACTTCTGAAGTGTATTTGACTAGCAACATGCAAAAACTGGCAGTGCTGGAGTGCTACAGAGACTGAATTATGCTGACATCATCAGACCTAGTCGGGCAAATCTGAAACAGTCTCTTGCATTACTGCCCATCCTGTGCTGGTTTGTGAATAAATAGGAAATTTCAGTCTGATTATTCCAGTACAATCTGTAAGATGAATAGACAACACGTGGAACAGAAAGACTTCCCAGTCTTCCCTTGCAAGTGAATGAGAGGAATTTTATGGACAAGAAATAGAGCATGATTGTCTAAAGTTTACTGTGACCAATAGAAAACTGGTGACTATATTGTCAGCGTGGATTAAAAGTAAATGGCCTGAACATGCATTGCTATGTGCACCTTCTTCTGGATGTGTACCAAGCAAAATACATATGTATATTTCATTCCAGTGATTAGTTCCTTCTTTTATGAGAACAGATTGAACTTAAGTACAACTTTAAAAGCCAGGCTTTCTTATTTTGAGGTCATTCAAGTTGCTGCCAAAAGGCATACAGTCATGGCATTTACGCTGCTCAATCCTTTGCACATTCAGAGCATCAGATCAATATTGATAATCAGAATGCATGTGCAGCACATGAATGCTATAAACTGCATTGTATTCAATGATACCATCTTACCCTTGTTGCTTTCCCCTGGTGCTTTCAGCCTGGACAACGTTGCTGAAGCTGCGTGTTCTCAATAAACACAGCATACAGTACACATCTACTTAACTGAATACAAGCCACAAATAAGGGAGAAGTAGAGCAGATCATTCCTTTATAAGATTAAAAAACCATCTTGGAAATTTTATTTGAAACTTATGCCATACAGTTCCTGAACTTCCTTTTCATCCCAATGGTTCCCAGACACTTCATCCTTCACAAGACCGTCTCCCCCCCTGGGAAAAACACAGTATTTCCACTGTTCAAGCATTACAGCTGGAAGGCGCAGGACAGGAAATAAAGCATACTTCACTAAGTGAGACTGTAAACTGTATTTAAAGACTGAAAAAATGCAGAAAGCCTTAAAGAATGAATGTCCTCTCCTTATAAAAATGGATGGAGGTTTCAAGAGCCAAAGCTCACCATCCATGTCCCTTTCTGTCACTGAAGGAGCACGTCAGCTCCTTTAAAGTGTGCCTCTGATCCTCTCATTTTCCAAGGCAAAAACCTGAGAAGACTCAAATGACTCTCACAGGACTCATTAACGCTGCTCCCCCCCTCCAAGCAAGGAGTGAGCACAAGTAGAACTCTTCACAGTACTCCCAGGAGATGCATGGGAAGACACATACTGAAAATTGCTACTTTCACCTCTCTGGGAAACAGACTGAAAACGCTGAGGCTGGAAGGACAAACGATGTTTCCAGTTTACTGTTTTAACTTCTCAGCTGAACAGCAAAGATGAGCTGTCCGCAACTAAAAGTGGTTTTGCTAGTAATTCACACATCCACTAACTGGAATGAGGGATTTGCTGCTTAATGATTTGTGTAAAGAAATATGGAACACACACAGGTCAAACTGAACAGGGATTTCACAACCACTAGCTTTACACTGCTCTTTTTGAAACCAGCAGGACAGTCACATCACAAAGATCACAGCAGTCCTGACCGACTGATCTTTACACTGATTACTCACACAGGGACTCTTGAGCTCTTTTCTGCTGCATTATAAAACAATGAGCATTAGAGCTCATTGTACACCTGCGCAGTGAAAAGTACCCCGCGTTCATTTAAGACATGCAGGATGCACTCAGATCAGCCCCCACACCACGCAGCATGCCATCACTTCTGGAGGCACTGACTTTCAGAGATCACAAAACACGCTCTACACCTGCACAAGCACGGCACTTACCTGCGTCAGTGGGCTGCACTTCGAGCCCTGTGCTTGCAGCTGTTACTCTGACAGACAGATAACTTACTGACAGGCAGCACTTTCTTCCACCTGCTGTAAAATAACTTCTCTGAAGTTATCCCAGAACTATATTTAATACTAATTGTTAAGCACTTCAGAATGATGTGCAGTAGAAGGTGACAACTACTGCTGAGCAAACAGTGAGCAGGAGCTGCTGACTTGTACCTCGCTGGCTTTCTGACACTGTTTTTAGCTATTTCTTCAGAAGTGATGTCAGTGAATTAAGAAACTGCTTTTTGCAGGCAGGCAGTAGTTTTCTAGCTCTCCTTCCTGCACATGTATCACACCTTTGATACAGACATGTTTTTGGTAGTGATGGGACAGCACGAGTGACTGCCACAAGCTGAGTCACTTTCAGGTGGCTGCCCACACTCAGGTGCACACACACCACTGTTCAGAAGCAGATGTTTCTCCCTTGCAGTTAACCACGCAGGCTGGCTGCGCTGCACAGAAGCAGCCGCATCCGGTTTGGCAGACGAAAGACAGTAACAGTCATCAGTGCACTCTCCTCCACTCCCTGTGCATACTCCCACCGTGTATTTTACTGGAAGAACCTGTCAGGCTTTGGTTCTTACACTTAGCTGCCAGCACTAGTGGACACTTCCTCTGAAACCCTCTCAGAAGAGCCCACTGTCACTGCTCATAATGGAACAGGGGCTATTTTAGCTCTTGTAAGACCCGATGCCTTCATGAAGGCTTCTGAGCAGCTACTGATCCCAGCGAGGCTGCTAACACACAAAGTTATCAGTGTCTGGAACACCAACCCTTGCACACATTTAGTCATCTGTGAGATTCCCTGTGAGGATCTGCATCTCATTGCAGCTTGTCCAGGATCTTGGAATTTGAGAATCCAGGTAATAAAGACTCACTGTTTAGGAAAGAAGTCAGCTTGCAATTAAAACTACACTTCTAAAATGGAAGTTTCTGGTGGCAACAGTGGTGCTAACACTGCTGTGTCAGTTGCTGCTGAACAGTGCTGCTTCTCCTTCTGCCCTGCTAGTAAGGAGATAAGGGTGCAGGAGAAGCTGGGACAGCTGGCCCAGGCTGACCAAAGGGCGTTCCGTATGGCACAGTGTCATGTTGAGCAAGAAAAGCTGGTTACAGGAAGAGGAGGGATGCTCAGTGTGTTGGCATTCATCTTCCCAAGAAAACATTTCATTTGACAAGTCCTGCTTTCCTGGAAGTGGCTGCATATCTGCCTGCCAATGGGAAGCAGTGAATGAACTCTTTATTTTGCTTTGCTCACATGCAAAGCCTTTCCTCTACCTATTAAACTATCTTCTATCTCAAATCCACAAGTTTTCTCACTTTTACCTTTGCAGTTCTCTCCCCCATCCCACTGCTGGGTAGGAGTAAGCAAGGGGCAGTCTGGTGCTGAGCTGCTTGTCGGTGTTAGATCACAACATGCTGCCATCATAGAGCTACTGAAAATCATTAAATTTATTTTAAAAGTATTTTTTAAATTATTAAAACGATGGGGGGGTGAGACTTACACCCAGTCCTCAGTGAAAGGCAGCTACTGCTTATAGGCAAGCACTGAAGAACAAAAATCTCTTTCCAGAAGCAAACAGGCCTGCCTTGAGACTGGAAGCCTCAGACAATATTTGCACAGGATTAGAACTGAGTATCAGTCCACAGCCTTCAGAATTTGCTATGTCCTCCAAGATGTTCAGATTACTCATCCTGCCTACTTCAAGCAGCTCTCCTGCAGCTGTTAAGTGCCTTTACTACTGCCTTGTAAGATAGCTCATTTTAAACTGTGACTGGATAGAGGCTCAACTTGCTGATAATCCAGATATATATATAGGGAATTATGGGCACTAGTTCATTAGATTAATGGATGAAAACAGGATTAAGTACCAATTGCCACAGCCACACAAATGTAGGCTTGCTGCATGTCACAGGGCTTGCTGCAGCAAATGGTGCAGACAGCATTCTGAAGTAAAGCAATGATAAGGGCAAGAGCATTTCTTCTGCTATTTAGGTTAACCTGTGTGAGCAATGCAGGCATTTGACAGAGGAACATTATCTCTGTGATTAACAAACAGAAACAAACCGGCCTAACAAAAACATGAGCAGATCCCATTTCAAAACTTAGCCCTGCTTCTACCATCACAAGAACAACCACAGAAGTCACACCAGCAGTATCTCTCTTCCTGCTGTAACAATGAACTCGTTGGCTGTTTGTTTATTACTTCTATCAGCCATCACTGGCCCACCAGTCCTTAGCAGTATATCACAACAAAAAGCAGTAAGGATGTGATGGTACGTGGGGTTCCCCATGCACACTATCACGCTGCCAGATGCTGCTTCTGCATTTTTTACAATTAAACTGTAGGTAAGCCTCTAGATTACTTTCTTACTTCTCACAGTAAAAATTGCAACTGTTTGAAACTTTACATTGGAAAAGATTGTGTGTACATATTCTCATCTTAAAAAAATAACCACTTTTTGGTGGCAAGGACAGATATTTACAGCCAACTTGTCTCCGAGGTCTCCTGAGTATTTTAAGAGTGACTCAGCAGAAACTCCAAAGCATTTCTCAGAAATTCTTTACCATGTATGAACATTGAAACCTTTCCTCTTAATAACTGTAGCAAAAAGGTTTCTGATGCTGCTTGAAAGCAGACAGCCTTTTAGGTTTGCCATGATGAACTATTTCAGTTTTGAAGTCAGCAGCCTGTTGAGACCACTTGAGACAGAATATTACCATTGGTTAAAGAAAGGACTGTGAGGTTCCAGGCTCCATTCCCAGCAGTGTTCATGACCTATGAATTCAAGCCATCACCCACACTTCATTTTCCATTGATAAGCAGATCATGTCACAAAGTTCCTACAGCACAGCGCGCAACGTACTGTATACAGAAATACAGAAACACAGAAACATAAACTACTTAATAGCATAAACTTCTGAGACAGTGAATTATGAAGAACCATGTTATGCTCCTTTACCATAAATAAGCTTGAGGTGGTTTGGGGACAGGAAGGAGGGAGGTGCTGCCAAAAGCTGTGCTCAGGGCAGGCACATGGCTCTTAGACCCTCAGTGGCAGATGAAGAGAACTTGTAATTTGTTTTCAGGCAGCTTATAAAATGCTTAATTACCAGGTGATGAATGAGTGACATTGTCATATTCTACCCACCGCTGTCAGATGGCATCCTCTGTGGCAGCACAGCCTCTCCTCGTAGCCCACCACCTCCAGTCCTGGCATGTATCTACCAAGTCAATAAAAATAGGTTAAACGAAGGTACTTATCTGAAAATTCTATATTCATGGAATTAAAAGGAGTAGAATCAGGTAGAACAGAACTGAGTCTATTGCTTACTTTAAAAAATGAAAGTAGTGGTGGTTATTGTCAGGGGACTGATTCTTTTTTTAATGTGACATTAAATTTTCTGCAAAATTTTGTAAAGGAGCATTCCTTCATTCTTCACTACCAAGGAAGTACTGTTTTCTCCTGAGAAGGATTTGGGTTTGTGCCTCGAGCAACACTTTCACAAGCTGCCATAAGTTCCACACAGCACAGAACAAACAAAACAAACAAAAATAATACATTACCTCTAAGTCATCGAACTGCCCAGATCCAGGCAGAGGTAGGAAATTAACAGTTGGCCATAAGGACCACAAGAACCAATAGGAGACACAAAATGCAGATGCTATTAAATGTCGTATTTCGGGACTGGGTGTTGACTTTCATTGTGAAACTCTACTACTGATGCAGGCTCCAGATTCACTACAGGCTTCTTTTGCCCGGATGCTGTTGAACAGCTATCAGGAGCTTGGTGCTGAACGGCACACAGCTCAGGTTTACGTTCCTGTTTACTGCACAGAGGTTTTAATCAATTAAGTCTCCCCATTGCACTACATAATCTCATTCACTCTGTGTAACTGCCGTCCATAACAGCTTAAAAGACTGGTAACATTGTTTTGTTGCCATTAGCACTCCATGCAATTCCCTTTACTCATTAATTTAGCAGCATTCATAGATCTAATGTGCAGGAGGCTTCAGAAGCAGTCTGAAAACAGCCACGGATTTTCTGCTTGGCTTCTCATCCTCACTACCTGGCCTTACACTCCTTTTTTCTTCCACTTGTTCTGTGAACAAAGACACTGTTATTCAGCACCGTTTTCTACCTCTCACTGCTGTCCACAGACACTTCCCTGGCCATTCAGGCTTCTACTTCTACAAGAGGACTGTGTTATTCTCAATCCATTGCCTTCTCTAAAACAACAACAAAAACATTATCCACATCACCAGAGATAGGGCAGATAAAGCAGCTCTGTGGAACAAACCATGTCAACAAGCAATAACCAGGCATACTTTACTTTTGGGCTAGGAAAAAAAGTGTCAAAATATTTTAAAACTGATATCCCCAATACAAAGAAAACAAGCCATATTTTCAGATGCTACCTATGTGCCCATTTAATTGAGCAACATAGAAAAGGGTGCTCCATCATCATAGTATTTACAGTCACTGGAGTGAAATGGTAACTGATACCCACTGTGAAATGAAGGACAAAGTGTTTAATTGCCCACCTGTGCTCATACCTACATCACCCTAAAAATGCCAATGACACGACAGCCTTGTCTGCATTCCCAATGCAGTCAGCAAGATCCAACTTGCTGAGAAATGAATCTAGCTAAGTCACGTGTCTTCCCAAGCATGCATGTGGCCATGTGGTTTTTCATGTGATACATTTAAGGCATCACATCTTGTATGTTTTACGACAAAAGGGCATAAACACATATTTTCATTTTGCTGTGCCTGAAGGATTCTAATGCTGTCAGTGGCATTTTTGTCTCCAATAAATAACTATGAAAATTTTACGTTCAGCTTTGTAAAGGAATTTCTAAACTACCAAAGAAAAAGCACAATTCAGGGCTCAGGTGTCCAATGAAGTATTCCTTGTAAAGGAAACTCAAAGAAAAATCAGTAGCCTGGCCTGCATATAGCACAACATGAATATGGCTCTTAGGAGACCTCTTGGCTTTCAAGAAGCAATAAGGATTTTGGGGAGGAAAAAAACTGTGGGAAGAAAAGCAATGCTCAACAGTGAAGAGTCAGTATTGGACATGCACTGTATCTGATACTAAAAGAGTATTTAAACTGTACTTCTCTGTTCTGCAAAATAACATGAAAACCACGTAACAGATGTGGATCTGTTATCTAATTTAAATAGATATCAATACAGATACTGAAATAAATTGCAAAATATGTAAAGTCAATACTAATATAGAACACGTTCAGTGACTCTCGCCCACCTCCTTCCTAAGACTTGTAGCAGGTGCTTTGTGAAGGATCAAGAAACAATACATCGTCTCATCTCTGCTAAAGTCCTCAAGCATTTTCCCTGTAATCAAGGTTTGTTGGAGGAGGATGTGGGGGCTGCAACTGTCCCACTGAGTGCTTTTGCTGGATCTGTATTTCAGATACCTCAGCCTGTAAAGTTTTCTTTGACTTGGCTTTACATTACAAATACAGCACTCCAAACTCTGCCAAAAAAAAAATATGAAAATGGCCAATCCTAAAACAATCCACTGGAAAAGGATATGATTGTTTTCACTTTCTCTGATCTCAAATAAAATTTAAGATACCAAATAAAGACAGTGAATTCCACAGAATTCGTAGTTGCGTGAAATCACCCACTACGAAAGTTAAGCTGTAAAGACAGCAGATGGTCTTTGACAGAAAGAATCAACTGCCAAATTCCTTTCTAACGTTACTTTTCTCAGATGGACTTTACTGAACTGATTTAAGAAAGTTCCGTCACAAGATACTTGCACTAACCTTTTGCCTGAGGTTTAATTAAATAGAAGAATGGGACACGTCTGTGCCTCAGCTGTTGTTGTGCAACTCCTATTACACAAAGATGGTTTGAAGTGGAAGCCTTGAATGAGCTGGCCAAGCCATGGTGAAGAGCAGAACTTTGCTATAAAGTTTTGGACAACTACATCTGCTAGAGTTCTTTTCTCTGAGCCTCTGTTGGGTAACGAGCAGTCAGTGCACAGCACCTCTTCGTGTACAACAACTCTTAGTGCCAGTCATGTCTGTTGTCTTTTTATTGGGTCAGGATCTAGAGCCATTGTGTATGTCCTGTTAACTCCTCAGAAATCTGAAGTTACTCCTTCAAGCAAAACTACTCGAATCTCTCATGATGCACGCAGCTGAGAGCTCTGATAGAAGCTGAGAGACAGTTAATCAACAGGTAACCTGCAAGTGGTGTTCAGGAATAGGAATCTGACTTGCGGAGCCTGTGACCTCCTCCTGCACTAACCTTAGGGAGCACACTACTTGCTGGTTACTTGTAACTTTCTGCATTACCTACTCAACTCACAAGTCCGCCTACTTACACCATATGCCACCAGCATCAAGCCACTTGAGGTGCCACTGTTTTTTCCACAGAAGTGATGATTTTAGGGCATCCCCACAACGACACAAAGAGCACTTCATGAGAACCCAGCGATACTCAGTGGGGGAAAACAACAACAACTGTTTTGCAGTCAGAGAAACGCAATGAGATCGGCAGGAGTATAATGCACTTTGCTGTGAGGCCTACCCAGAGGCATGGGGAAATATGCAGGTTTAGAACAGTATTCAAAATATACAAGAGTGGCCCTGTTGCATAATACAAGCTTTTGACAAAGGCAGTATGATTATTTGTGAAATGCAGCCTCCATTTCAAAGTTGCTCTTCTGGTTACTACTCTTAATATAACCTGCTGATACAAAGTGGAAACCAACCAGCTCTGGACACAGATTCATTCCAGTTCAGTTCAGCTATTTGTACATACATTGAAGACGTTGTTATGTTTTATTTTGGACCCACTGTTTTGATGAGCACCAGGTAGCTATTTGATGATTCACGTACAACACACCTATGTGCTCCACATTAGATCTCTACCAAAAAAAGCAAATATTTTTTAGATTAAACTTCGGAAAAGGAAATGAAACTGCATTCCTGGTCACCTTCATTATAAGACTTTTTGGAAATATTCATAAACCAGTCAGTCTGTTTGAGATAATTCCATACGCCAAAAGTGGAAAAAAAGCTTTTCTTATATATGTTAAAACTACTGGTACTGGAGAACAAAGAACTACTTGATTAGCCTGTCAGTGATTGGAGACCTGAGAACTGAGCTCAATACCAGAGCAGCTATTTCTACCTAAAAGAAAAAAAAAACAATAAAGAAAAATAAAAGAAAAATAAAAATTGTTTACAGCATCCCAACTTTTCACTGCACATCTTCTTTATGAAATTTTAGCCTTCCCATCTTTCCCAGCCTGGGAACAACTTCCTCCACTACCACCAGAAGTGAGCAATGTTTTAATTAGTGAGATAGTTTTAGTGCACATTTAAAATGCTCATATTGTAGCATTAGCTTGAGTACCTGCATCCAGGAGCGAGCATGCACTTAAATGTAACTAATGAAATAAATTTCTCATGATTCACTTACATTTTAAAGCATTTCAGTGCTTAGCTTCCATAGATTTAGGAATCATGGATGGAAGCCTTTAAACACTTCTGATCTGTCAAACTCATATTGTTATCCACAAAGCTCCTTTTTCAACCCAAATTTCTATTACCTTCAATTGGCATTCTGGCACATTCCAGCAACTAATGAAGCACTTGCAATTGACTGCTGACTACTGTACCCAGTCAAAGAAGGCAGTCTAAACAACAGCAGTTCAGAAGAATGTATAATTTTCTAAAGGAAAATAATAATAATCACATAGTAGCAAATAGCAATATATTTTTTCAGTTGTGATCCTACCCACTCATTCTGCTATTTGCTGCTAAAAAAACCCCAAAACTGTTGGAAGGCTCCTTTCATTTTCTTCATCTCTTCTTCTCTGTGGTATCTTCAAACTTGGTGGACTGCTGCACTTGTGAAGTCTGCACAGCTCTGAGTCAGCTAGGCATGTGATTTCTTTTATTGTAATGATCTGATATAAACCAATACGTAGATGCACCTATTGTAGCAGAAACCTAAAACTAGTAGCTTATTTGGCTCACTAGCATGGACTGTCAATATGGTATTTACTCAAGGGCTTAGCTGGTGACCAAAGAGCAGAATGCATTGGATTACCTATAGAGATACAGCAGGCTATGTCATTTTAAAGTTCCTCAAGTGGCAGATGGAAGTTGATCCAGCTCTGGGACACACAGCTGAAATGAGCAGGTGACAGTTTCACTTAGCGAAAGCACATTTTCAT